CTGTTGAAGCGAAACTTTGGAAAATATGAGATGTTCATAAAAGTAAACCCAAAGCAGCTTGTCAATTCATTTGAGGTACGATCCAATACCCACTTAGCTGTGTCCGGTTGTGGTGTTATCTTGTAGTAGTTTTTGGAAAAGTTTGTAAGTGATGCTCAGAACTTTTTCTGGAAATTTTATCTCTCTCATTAATTCAGAGACAAATTTATAAATAACTATGACATCATTTTTTTAATGCTTTGTTTACAGTTAACATTACTAGCCTGTTTTTTTTCCTTGGTCTTGCTAATGTCAACATAATTTCGAATCAATATTACAGATTGAAGCAGACATCTTTGAGCCTCAAGGTATCAGTGAACTCGAAGTTGAAGGGACATTCATCAACAATGACCTGTTACCAGTCCTAAAAAAGTCTTTTTCAGGAAAAAAGGTATGTCTTGTAATAGAATCATGGAGGGTGATTCATATACAGGTAGTCCTTGCCTAACAACCGGTGGGATTTGGTTAACGATGGCAATGGGGAATCCTGGGATTTCCGTTGCTAAATGATGCAGTCACATGATGTCGCACTTTACAACCGCATTGTTTAGTGATGGAAATCCCAGGCCCAATTATTATCATTAACTGAGAACTATCTGTAATGAGTTGGAGGCGGGGTATCTGCAGTGATCATGGTCACTACCTTGGCTGCAGGTGCCCTGATTGGAAGTAAATACAGAAGAAACCATTTGGATTCACAATCATGAAGTGAAAAGAAAAATAGAGATATGCCTTATGACATTATCCAGAAGAGAAGAAAAGAAAGAATGGCCCCTGAATATATGCTTAAAAAGTGATCTAACTATTTATTTCATGGAAACACAGTTGACAGATTATTTTGTCACAGCCAAAGCTCTACGTGAGGCATTGAACAGGGCAACCCACAATAAAAGATGTAGGCACAGAATTCTTTGAAGATACTTCACAACAGTAAAAGTAGCTCCCAAGTATTTCCCTGTATCAGGGATAGACAATCTTTTCTTGCTGAAGGATACATAGCATAGCTGAAGAGCTGCATTTACAACAGTAGGTGGGTCAGAATGAAAAAATAAGCAGGGGCAAATCAAAAAAAGTAGATGAGGCTGATCCATAATAGTAGTAGTAGTAGTAGTAGTAGTAGTAGTAGTAGTAGTAGTAATAATAATGCTTTATCACAGCTAATTTTTACACTTTCAAAATATTTCTGCTTTACAGTTGAGGGAGATAGCTTATGCCCAGTAGAAAGAATGTGCGTACAGAGAAACAATAAATTCAGGATGTGTGTCCATTTCTTGTTCTTGCATCTGGTACATAGACAAGGATCAGGTTTGCTCCTTAAAAAACATGTGATTCAGTGTTTCATTCCAAGCCCCTGCTTCTTGTTTGAGCCCATAGAAACTCTTCTGCAACTTGCACATCAGCCTTTCTTTTTCAGGTTCTTTGATTCAGGGTGGCTTTTACATGTATATGCCTTCCTTCATATAGGAAAGTTGTTTTTACATTTAGGTGTTGAGCAAACATTTCTCTTGAAGCTGCACCGAGTCCTTTGAGATTGAGACAGTTAATGAGCTACATTAAATTAAATTAGTGAAGAATATTATTATTAAAGTGTATTTCACCACCGTACAGTTTTCATTGTAATTTTTGCCATGTTTTGGGGACTATCTCTTGGCAACCCATCTGATCTTGTAGAGTTAGATACTGTATCTTCTGCATCACACTTAATTGTGAAGACCAATTTGTATCCAATGGACTTCCTTTCTTTTGGTACGTCTCTGAAAGCCTGTGTTTTCTTCTTGTGAAGAAATTCACTATCTTCTCTAGCAGCTTGTAGCTGTTTGTCTTCCCTTCAATGTGGTGCCTTGGGGAAGAATGTAGTATCTCTTCCTCTCTGGCTGGAAGAGCAAATTATTTAGAAGATATTACCTTGTTGACCTGAGTATCTTATCTATGGCTGAGGCTTTCTACTGGCCTCTGTTTCTGCTTATGCTGCCACTTCTGTATCTTCTTTATCATCTGAGTTCATAGTTCCTTCCTGCTATGAATGCTGCACTATTACTTCTCCTCCTAGCATTTCTAAATGAAACCTCAATATTTAATTAGTATTTGATCCTTGTCTTCATCAAAATATGCCACACGGTATATTTTAGAATGCAGGGAATTATGTATCCTCTGTGTCTATTTAATATCTTAAGATCTTAAGAAGCATATTACATTGTAGAAGTGAAGAGGACATTTTTATAAGATACTAAATATCTGCAAACACCTTGGATTCCAACACCTTAATGTGCTTTACGTTGGTTTGGTCTCATACCACAATTCAATACTGTTGCATCTTTGTCTTTTATGGGTAAATTGTACTGGAAGTTGCAAACTTTATTACTTTTACCCAATATTGCTCCAATGTGGAGAAGCAAGCTTCTGGTCATTTGCATTAGATTCTATTGTTCCTCTTTGCCACACCATTTTGTTGTGGGGTATAGGGAATTGTTTTCTCATGTTTTATTCCCTGTCCTCTCAGATACGTTTCAATTTCCTTTCCTTTGTTTTTTCCCCCCCCCCCCCATCAGTGTTTAAAGTGTGCAGAGTCTTAGGCTTTCTTCCAAATCCATTGCTCACTCTTGCAATATGGATGTTCTTTTTACTTTTCCAGGACTTCATCTTTTCTCTTTAAGAAGGTAAATGAAAACTTTTGAAAAGGGATAAATAGATAAATAGGCAATGAGGACTTTTCACTACATTTTAGCTTTCCAACTTCCAGGATAGAATTCCTATGAAAGGATAATGCATTTGAAAGTTTAAGTCATTAGCTACATTTGCAAGTTAATGTAGCTCCATTAAGTTTAATGTAGTACAGCATCATAGACGCTTGAGAAGTCATGCTGCGGTGTTGAAATAGTCTATTCCACATTTTTGTTCCTCAGCGTAACCTAGCAAGGGATAACCTGCTATTAGAGAAATGGGTCCCATGGCTTTTCTATTTGCAGAACACTATTCTGTTGCTTCTTTCATATTTCGGTTGGCCTTGGTTCTTCCAGAATGTGAACACCACAGCAGCATTTTTATCGGAAAGAACAATTTTCTATAGTTTCTGTCACTTAACAGTTCAGCAGAGCCAGCTCTCCTTGCTGGATTGCTTGTGGCCTTTCTGCATGTTTAGTTTCCCTGCTTTGCAGACTGACAAACTCTTTCTTTTTCTTCATAAACGTAAATCACTCTTGGCCAACACAACACTCTTCTGGGGCGTAAGTAGTTTATGCTCAATGCAGGATAATCCGCGGTAGTGGTCAGTGGTTTCAAAATGGTGGGCACAACAAGACAGTCAAACCCCTGGCCCTTTGACATGGTTTTGTAGAAAGAAATCTGGAGGTTGGTATGAAAGAAAACAAAAGAGACTCCTTATGGGATGACATAAATAACACCTGAAAGCAAGCCTAGAACTGGTATGGTGCATCTACCATTACTGAAAAGAGTAATGGTAATAAATCAGTGAAGAAGGAGGAAGTAAAAGTAATAACAAATACATCATACAAATATGATAAATAAATAAATAAAAATTTAAAAATCCTAACAGTATAAGTGTAGCCAGTAAGAAGCAATGCAGTGTAAGACATGCAGAGTAAGTCTTCCTAGACAAGAAAAGAAGATAAAAATGCAAAGTTCCCATGCTAGCTTTTCTTGCATCTATTGCTCCTAATCACTAAGAGGTTTATAGTTGCAGAAAGCCGGTGCATGGAATGTTGGATCTTCCAACATTTAATGCTTCAAAATATAGCACAGCTGAATTTCAGTAGCAGCTCATGGCTACCCCGGGGTTGCTCACCCTGTTCTAAATGTTCCTTTAAAAAATTTCCAAGGCTTCCTTCCTCAGAAATTATACATGTACAAGAAGGTTATCAATTACTGCTAGTTATGAGCTATTTATTACTTCAAGCATTGAAGACATTAGTTGTTGGGAAGCCCTATAAGTACACTCAGGCACTGCTTATAAGCTTGTTGTCGGCATCTGGTTCACTATTATACAGACTGAACACATGACGAGATAGGCCTCTAGACTGATACAGCATGGCTCTTCCTATGTTTGGAAGTAATCTTTGAATATAAACTGCAGAAGATATACTAAGAAATAGTATGGGTCATTATCCTAGATCTCTAAATGAAAGCAAAACTTCCTCAGAATCTACTCTCTTCCTTTGCTAAAATCTAAGATGAAGAATTCTTCTTTTTAAGGGCCATGTGTCATTCAGTCCCACTATCGAACAACAACGAACCTGTGACAATTGTACAACCACTCTGCTACAAGGAGATTTTGTCATTAAGTATGATGTGAACAGAGATTCTCCTAATAATTTACAGGTAAATCCAGTTGTTTCTCTCCTGAACTAATATACCACTACAAAAACAAATCCAAACAAAAAACCTTACCATAAACTAATACTATTTCTATCTTTATCAATGTTTTTAGATTGTAAATGGATACTTTGTACACTTTTTTGCACCAAAAAACCTTCAACGTTTACCTAAAAATGTTGCCTTTGTAATAGATGTCAGTGGTTCCATGTATGGACAGAAAATTCGGCAGGTAAGTAAAGAACACAAAACAAATTCTTGTAATATCCCTAGAAGGATAATAAATTGTGTAGCAGATAAAATCAGGTCCCTATAATCTTTTACTCCAAGTTATTTCTGCCTTGCAAGATTTACACATATAGTAAAATATATAGCATAATCATCTTGAAAATATTTAATAATGTAATTGAAATTTACCCGTTCATCCTAAAAGTTTCAACCACGTCTTCTTTTTGATGTGTTGATTTAGGTCATATATTTACTTAGTTCCAAAGTCATACAAAACATCCTTTCCGGATGGGAAAATAATACACTTGAGCATTAGAATGAAATGCAGGATGTTGGCAAGTTTGAACATTACATAGCCAGCTGGTCTATTCAGCTTCACCACTGGCGTAAGGACACAAAACTGTGAAACTCAATACAGAAGGATCTTCTTTGAGGAAGCAGTTTAACTTTGAAACAATCAGTTTGTACTTGGGGCCATGAACAATTCTGTTCATGAACTATATCAGGAGTCAGCAAAAAATTAAAAATAGATAAAAATCTAAAATAACAATAATAATTTTTTAAAAGACTGAAATGTCATGAAATTATCAATTTTTGCAAAATCTTAGGAATCTTTCCAGTCTCAAACATCCCACAATTTCATGGGAGAAAAGCAAAATCTCACAAGTTTTGATAATCTGATAAAGACTTAGCCAATTTTTATTAATGAAAATTACATATTCAATTTAATGTTGTTGGTTCAGGGATGATCTGTACAGATGTCACAATATAAGCAGTGGGCATCATGTTTCAAATCCTTGATATGAGTGCAAATATATATGTCTTGTATGACTTTGGAACTAAGTAAATATCTGACCTCTATCAAACAATGTTTAAAGGCAGAAATAATTTAAGAAAAGGAATGTAGAAAAGAGAAGTGATGTGTATTACTTTCTATAACTTCTTCCCAGTCCTCCTCACCCCTCTTCCCCAGCTAAGTTCATTTCCATTCTTAGAATTATGCAAAAATATACATCATTTTGCTGATGAGGAAAAAAGGGAGGGCTTGAGACACCCATTCACATTTCCATTTGAAATCAACTTTATTATCACCTTTGCACACCTTTTCCGTTCTCATTGGGTTGTGTGCATTTCTGCAGTTCTGGAGGGTGGCCATTTTAAACAAAAGATCTACTCATGGGGAAAGGTGCCAGCACCATTTTCTTGTTTTGTAAAGCAGGAACAAGCCTGACAAGGAAGGCTTGTGTTCTACCAGGTAAAGTCTGTGGCGTGAGCTGTTTCTTTCCACATGATTTGTGACTGTGATTAACCAAGCTGAATGAAGAAAATAGTACAGTCTCAGTGCTGACAATGATTACCTCCAAAAGTTAGTGGGGAATTTACACAAAAAAGTGTGGAGCATGTTTGCTGCACAATATTGCCTATCTCTTGACCATGATTAGGAGACAAGGCAGTGTTGCCTTAGTATGGAAGTCTACCTTTCCCAACAAGAAGTGTGATTTTTTTCCTCAATAAGTATATGGCTTTATAGGATATAACCTTGGGTTAAACAGTTGAAGCCTTGAGCAAACAAGTTCTCATAAAAGGACCTGGCAACCGCATGTGATGTGGTAGCAACAGCAAGACATGGGCATAACATCAGGACTAGGAGCTGATAGCTACTGCCATATAACATCTTTGTCCACCATTCAAATATTTAAGGAGATAAACTCCCTGCCAAACAAAATATCTGTTCCTGGCAGTAGAGAAGTACACTACCTGACTAATCATTAAAGTAGAAAAATGGATTGTTTTCCACCAGCTAATACATTGTAATTGGGAAGAAAAGATCATAGCCGTGTAATGTGCTGTCAGAGAGAGCTGACATAGTTGAAAGGAAAGCAGGGAAGATCCTACGGCATAGCCTTACATAGCAGAAGCCCTGTGTTGAGAGCAGAGAGACTCCTCAAACACAAAAGAGGAAATAGTTTGTTCCATTTGATCAGATGTTTTTTTAAAAATAATTCTAGGCAAAGGAAGCCTTGACAAAAATAGTTGAAGATTTAAAAGAAGAAGATCACTTCAATATCATCCTGTTTGAAAGTTCAGTTTCAACATGGAAAAATAAGTTAATTCAAGCTACTCCAGAGAATGTGAACCAATCAAAGGAATTTATTAGCCAAATAAGAGATTTGGGAGGTAAGTAAAAAAAGAAAAGTTAGAGTAAAGTTAAATTGCTAAATTAGAATAAAATTAGAATAGAATTGCTATATTAGAAAAAAAATAAAACAAAACACTACATTGAAAAGATTTGAAACTCCATTTTAATATGCTGAAAGATTTGAACCCCTGCTTCTATATTGTAGGAACAAATCTTAATGATGGTTTACTGACTGGCATTGAAATGCTGAATAAAGCTCATGAATCAAAATCTGTCCCTGAAAGAAGTGCTTCTTTAGTTATCATGTTAACTGATGGGCAGGCCAATGAAGGTAAGTAGCTGAACATGGGAATAAGACTGATATTCAGACTCCTTGTTTTCAAACAGTCTTCTCCATTCTATATACCAGGACCTCTGGTGATCATGTGTCACCTTTACACCTTTGTGCTGTTACAGAGGACTGGGAAGGAAGATGGTTGGTGTTCTTGCATCTCACAAGAGTACCCAAACCTGCTGCTCAGCCTTGTGAGATGTGGGAACCACTCACAGGTCAGCCAGAATCAACTGATTTCCAGGAGGCCTCTTTCAGCAGAAATAGACCTAGTTGTTCCACCTCCATCATCTATGAGGAATTTGTCTGTGTGTTATCTGGCAGTTCCCTCTCAACCTCAAAAGACTGTGAAAAGTAGTATTCATTGTGAGAGGCATTATGGAAGACCTAAGAGAAGCTCCCAGAAATGTGCCCAACTGAGTGCTAATCTCCTGAACCTGCTGTAGATTAATTTTGTGTCATCGGTTTCAGAATCTTTTGGAGTGGGTAGCTATAATACATCTAATAAATAACAACAACAACAACAACAATAATTCTACCTAGGGAAAAGGCAGTGAGGGAAGGGAAAAAGAATCCGATTACAGCATGACTCATTCTCTTCCATCCCATTAAGAGGAGACTTCGAAGCTGCAAGTCATGGAGTTGCAGAGCCTTGTATTACAAGTTATAGTGTTGCTCTGCCCAGTAAGGTTCTTTTCCCTACAAGCATGTTTCAGTTGACTATCCTGTTTAATTGTGTTTTGTGATCCTTTCTGTGCAGGTGTATCAGATCCCAGAAAGATCCAAGAAAATGCTAAGAATGCAACTCAAGGAAAATACCCTATATACAACCTTGGGTTTGGTTATGGCGTTGATTATGCATTTTTAGAGAGATTAGCGACAGAAAACAATGGTGTGGCTCGCCGCATCTTTGAGGATTCAGATGCAGCCTTACAATTACAGGTAGAAGAATAAACATATTCTTATTGCATTCATTCTGATATTTGCATTCATTCTGATATTTATATTTATATGAAATGTTTCTGTGGCAGAGAAAGGCCACTGAGTACAAGTTATAAAAACAACACTATCCTTGCTTTGATTTAGACATGAGAATAAAAACAATATGTGTCCTCCTCTCCTCCTGTTTATCCCAATTCTCTATGTTTTCCATCTGCAAGCTCCAGGAATTATACTCCCTGCCCCAAATGTAGTTTGGTAGCAGCTTCTATTTGTCCTGAGATATTTTGATGCTATAACAAAGAAGGCAGTTTCTTTATATCATGGTTATCAGAGTTAGAACTTTGTGCCATTTCCTCTCTGTGCTCTGATTCTGTCATTGAGACAAGATCTGCTGCCAGCATTCTGCTCCATGGTGTTCAGAGGTGTGTCTTTGGCCCAATTCTTAGTCCAGGTGGCATTGAAAGACAAATTTAAGTGAACATAATTCAGCCTTCCCCAACCTGGTACCCACAGTATATATTATGATTTTAACTTGCTACCACTCCTGCCCAACTTTCCATCATATCTCAAGAGCTCCTGGTTGGACAAGGAGGCATAACTGGTAGATGTTTGCTTCTATCTGATAAATTTATTCTCTTATCAAGCAGAGAAAGATCACTGATGACTCTTTCTCAGTTACAAGAGGCCATGCAAATTCTCCCAAAGATAGTCTGCTACCCGAGGCAGAGCAGAAAATGGTATCTCATCCCATCCTCAAGCAGAGGCGTATAACATCTAAAGGCAGCCAAGAGAGATTAGCATATGTTTCCCTCCCACACTGTGGCAGACTAAGAATCGACTAAGATTACATTTCACAGAACGTAGAATGAGAAGACATGTATAGGAATCCATTATAAGTAACAAGTTTCATGGCCCCACAAATCAGCTACCTGAGGTTACCATCTCATTCTGCCTAAGAGGCAGGGCATTACAGGAGCCAACACAAGTGCACATTTTTCTTTGGTGCTTGACTATGTCCTGACCACAGCCACCATTTTTGCCTGCTTCTGGTCCTGTTGCAACAGAATCACCACAGCTAGTGAAGTGAAACCTTCTCCCTTCTCAGGCACCTGGCTGCTTTTATTTCATTCCTAATCATACATTCTCCAGTCAAAAGTCAGCAAGAAGAAAGAGAAAGAGAGAAAGCAGAAAAAGTATTCTACTAAAATGTGTACCCTATTAAAAATGTTGGTTTGTTCCTTTAAAGAAACAGCTCACATCAGGAAATTTTACCATAAAAGGGCCTAGATCAGGGAATATATATGACGAAGGAAAGTAGGCATTTTTATTTTAAAAAGGGATTGTCTAGCAATTAACAGTTTTGCAAACTAGGAGAAGATGTTCAGAAAGGCTTTGATATTAGGAGAAGTTATAAATGAAAAGAATCACACATTTTTCTGTGATTAAAAAAGATTAAAACTCATCAGACTGGAAAATTGTTTTACTAACACGTATAGTAAAATAGTCCCAATTTTTGTATTGATCTTCACATGCCTAATGTCATTACTACACCTAAACTCCGTCACTTCACAGAGGTAACCACCCATTTCATGGAGTCCCCTTTTTCCATATTATAAACAAAATGGTAGAGAGGAGGAGGAGGAGGAGGAGGAAGAGAGTATTAAAGAATTAAAACATTCAAAGAGGTTTCTGTTCTCGAGTAATTTTCCAGGTGAAGGGTAGTCTAGATCCAGATATGGAAAAGTAAGACACACTGTGGCTAAAAAAGTAATCTCTCATTTCCAATAATTTCAGTAATAAATACCCTTTAGTGTTACAGTTTTTAATAAACCTAATATCTATTTTGTTCCCAGGGTTTTTATGATGAAGTCGCCAATCCCTTGCTTACTGAAGTAGAGTTAGAATATGCAGAAAATGCCATCTCTGATTTGACTCAAAATAGTTTTAAACATTTTTATGATGGCTCTGAAATTGTTGTGGCTGGAAGAATCACAGACAATGACCTGAACAGTATCACAGCAGAAGTAAAAGCTCATGGGGTAAGTATCTTTGAATGCACAGTCCAAAATTCCTGAGGATATTGCCAAGATATTCCAGTTTCTCTAATGCATACAGAGTATTCACAATGAATTTAAACTGCCAAGCCATGTTACATCCATCCATCCATCCACATCTAAACATCAGCTTCACCTAAGACTGACACAAAGCATTTCCAGGCTGTGAGGGTTCACGGGAGATATCAGTTTTATTGCTGGCTTCTGTGGCTGAAGCTATGTGGCAATCTGGAAGCTCGGTGACAAATAAAGGACCACCCCCTCAAAGCAACTTATCACAAGGAGACTGATAGCACTTTTTCCAACTAACCCATTTTATTAATTTTTTAATGTAAATTTATTTATTAAGCCCATTTTATTAAGTTTTTCTGAGCTGTAGCTTACTTCATCAGATGCACAGAGTGGCTAGACTGATGTAGGATTTAAACTGGGGTTCAGCAGGGAAGGGAAGACAGGTCTTTATTTTAAAATGTTGAGATAGCCACCCATCTTGTACCGAACTCTGGGTGGCTTACAACCAAGAGATAAAACCACACTTATGTACAATAAAAATATTAAAACCAAAAATATAGGTTGCTTGTACAGACTCAGGTTACATGCGAGACAGATTACAAGTGTCTTCTGAATTAATAATTATTAATAATAAATTAATAATCTTCTGATGTGTTAGAAACCCTTGGTGTTTGCTGAGAGCTTTAAAGATTGCCTGAAATCTTTTGATTTGATGATATGCAAGTTCATCAATCTCTTGCTCAATGTACATAAATATAGAAATGAATACCTGCATAAATGTATACTGCTGAAACATTATAGTGCAATTATAAATGCAATTATTTTCTTTTTTCTAGGCACTGGAGGATCTGACTTATACTGAACAAGCTGATATTGAGGAAACAGCCAAAGCTTTTGAACAGCAACTATACATATTTGGAGAATATATTGAGAGACTCTGGGCTTATCTCACAATTAATGAACAACTAGAAGCACGGTAACATAGGACTTTCCAACATATTTCTATTTCTGGCTACTCCAGCGAGGTCCATGAGAACCATTAGGGTCATCCCTTTCTTGAGAAAGATTATACTTTAAGGTTAGGGTTAAATGTTTCTATTCTAAAGATCCAGTCAAAAGGGATCTGGAAAATCAGTTTCATTCAATAATGTCTGGAATTGGCTAGTAACTATTCATCATTTTCAGCCTGTAGTTGATTTGATCTTTTGGCCCAAATTAAATTACTTTAGATAATGTATTGCAGGGCTTCGAACTTCACATCAGACTTTGAGAAGCCTAGTTTTAAGTCCCAACCATCTCCTTCCTCTTGCAGGAGATAAGTACTTGTGTAAAGAGTTTTGCTGCCAAAGTGTTCATGAGGCACATATCCTATTTATTTTATCACTGAGAATAATTTACAATATATCTTTACATTACAGGATGGATAGAATACCAAATAATTAATATTATCATGGTTAAAAACAGCTTCTAAATGCTTGTCCAATGTCCTTGCATTTAGTTCTGTAGCACAGGGAGATGAAAAGGTAAATCTTACTGCAAAAGCTCTGGAGATGTCTCTGAAATACAAATTTGTGACTCCATTAACATCCATGGTGGTCACAAAGCCAGAAGACAATGAAGAAAAGGAAGCAATTGCTGACAAACCTATAGAAGGTACAGATACTTTCATAAGGACATTAATCTATCTGGCTCTTAATAGTTTCTGGGGAATGTTCCAAATGTGCACAGTTGACTAGCCAAGAATATCCTGGAGCAACAGGTAGTATATTTTCCTCTTAGATCAAGATGGGAAATTATGAATTTTGTGTTGTGTGCTTTGTAGCAATATCTGCAAATAGGCCAAGGAGGATCAGATTGATGTCAGCAGGATCATGGCATTGCAACACAAGCTTCACTTCTTTTCTACATGCACTGTGACATTACACGTATTCCCAAAACAGGTAGAACTTGCGATGCAATCCCACAATACTGCCTTTGTCATACTTTTTTCTCATTTTTTAAAATTTTATTTTAATATTTTGAAAACACAATTTAAAAAGTTAAAAAAAACAAAAACAGTAGAAAATAGATTTATAAGCAATATAAGATCAAATAAAATTTCCCAAGTAACATTAATTTAGTGCTGCATGTTAAAGTGGCAATATAAGTCTTCAGGACCATTATTAAAATAAATCCAATATTCATCCATTAACAAAAGTAGTTAATATAATATAAATAAAAAATAAAGGATTAAGAAAAAATCTGTCTTGGCTAAAAATCCCATTTTTATTTAATAAATCAAGCAAAATCTGATAAATCAAACCATTATTTGGGTTTTTCTTAAACCCAAACTTCAGGTACAGTACAAGTTCATATGTAGAATTACATGCTTTTGTCATGTCACTGGTTCTTTGGGTCTGTATCATCAGTTATACCCATCAGATGGACATTTGGAAGAATTGCCTTTCAACCCCTCTTTAACACATAACACACTAATAAAGATTCTTGGGGGTAATGGGGCCTCCAGAATGTTGATAGGAGAGGCCTCCACTCTTGTTTAAGCTTTTATTCTACGTCAGCTCTAGAGCAGTGTTTCTCGATCTTGGCAGCTTTAAGATGCGTGGACTTCAACTCCCAGAATTCAACTTCCCAGTGCTGGCTGGGGAATTCTGGGAGTCGAAGTCCACACAAAGTTGCCAAGATTGAGAAACACTGCTCTAAAGCCACAAGGGGTTCAACTAAGCTTATCTGCTAACCTCACCAGAGTTGTCCTTTTGGTCCATCCCTTCCCTCTCAAAGGCCTCATTGTTTTTGTCCTGTGGTAGCAAGCAGCCCACCTTGAAATTAAAGAACTGCAACCTGGAATGTATCATCCATATCAGAGGAAAATGAACACTGGAAGAATTAAAGGAAATAAAGTCTTGAAGCTGCTGCTTTGCTAAATGACTGCATGACATGAATAGTTGGGAGAATGGGAAGGGGGTGATTTTATGCATAAACTATGTTTTGTAATATGAGTAATTAGACATGATTTGGGGTCAAGCTCTTTTAAAAGGAAGTAGCTGTTTGCCTGAATTAATTTTTAGAAGAAATAAAAATAGCTGCCCAGAAACATGTAACTGAAATTATGCACACCCTCCAGTCTATCCTTGTTGAGGCAGTTCAGCTGTAATCATTTTTGCAGTCAGACTAGTTTGGCATAAAAATTAATTGTTTCTCTGTCTCTCTCTCTCTGTCTCCCTCATTTATCATCCTTGGAAACAGCTGAAGGTAAATTGAGTTCTAATTCTTTCCCTCCCCTCCATATGAATATGAGCTTATTATCAAATTTTACTTTTAATGATGAATTCCAGATTTACTGATTGAAAAGAAGCAAACAAAACAAATAATAAGTCAATGATGTTTTAAATAAGTTTAGCTCAGATCTCATATCTTGCCTTCCCATTGGTTGGATTTAATGCAGTTTTATTTTAACTCTTTTGCTACCAGTTTAAGATGAAATGTGTACATTGACACAGTAGAATAATATTTAAATATATTATGCACTTTTAAACAAAGCTGTATGAAGTATTAAACAAAGCTGTATGAAGTAACCATATATTAGCTCAGAGCAAGTATATAAATATGTAGCATAAACTATATAAAATTTAAATTACAACCTAATTTTCTGAAATTTATTGTACAGTTTGGTTAATTGGAACCAAAGTTTCATTTTAATGTTGTTCACCATGCCTCTGCAGATGACAACTGCCTTACATCCAGGAAGATCACATCCACATATAATAAAAAGAATAAGTATTTAAAGGAATTCTACCACAGATCCTGCTGGGAACAAATGTGGACTTTTTGCTCCAGCAGATCCATGGTAGAATAAAAGTGAGCCACAAATGAAGTCAAACTAACATTTTGACTTCTCTCTAAAAACTCTGCAGGGGTGTTTGGTTGCTTTTCTTTAGCTTTTAAAGTGACTTCTTCACTCACAGCAGCTTGGTGCTCTTTACAGAGACGTTTTGCTCCTGCAGCACTTCCTGGAATGACCACTGTAGTAATATGGCCATTTTTGGTAAGGAAGGGTTTGGTGCTGCAGTGATGTGTTGAGGCTTTTTAAATGATAAAGAAAATAAGGGAAATATCTCTCACCACTTTGCGTGAATGAAGTAATTCCAATCCACCACTAATTCACACGTGGATAATCTATGGCCCAAGGTCATAGGCAGGCCTCAAACTTCTTTTCTTCTTCTGGAGAACCTCCAAGTTTCCTTTTACCATAATTGCCGAACATTGAAGAAATGATCTTCCATTATTTTGAGGCAGAAAACACATGAAAACTGTGCAGTGTAATTCCTGAAGCTCCATATTCAGACCAAGAAAAACAAAAAATCTCAGCCCGTGAACATGCGGGATAGTCGCACAGATTTTGCATTGCTATGTGATTCACTGATAGTGCCTGTCCTTCCTTCTAATGTTATGTAATCCTTGCCCCCAAATATTGCCTTTCCCCGTCCCATATGTGAACCTGGCCCTCGAAGCTACTATTTAAATGAAGCAGAATGTTACCTAGTGTACCTACCAGGACAATCACAACATTTGGAAATAATTGTTTTGTTTTTCTTTTCTTTTATCCAGCAAAGCAGCAGGTGTCTGCCTATTATCCTCCATCTACCCCTTATCATTATTCTAGTGGTAAGTTTCTTTTTTACAGTTCATAGACATCCAGAACACAATCTCAGAGGGTTTTTTTTAAAAAAATAAAGTGTGATTGATTTCAGTAGTAAGAAAAAAATCTAAATGTGTCTTTCTGAGGGTCTGCAGGGTGAATCAATGTTGTTTTGTTACAGAACTAAAGGCAACCGAAGTTTTTCAGGTCTTTCTGTTTGAGACAATTGGGTGCCTTCCTCCCAGCATGCTCAGTTGTTGATGTGGATTGGAGTGTCTCAAGTTGTACCTTAAAATGGGAGGTCACTTCAAGGAGTAGATGATGTCTAGTGCAACTGTTGCTGCCTGTGAAAGATACAGGCCTTATTTTTTTCTCAGCTCCATCAATCATCAACTAGAGATGATTAGGAAACAGGAAAAGGGAATAAACAACTTCCTCTTCTCAATTACCAATGTTGGATTAAGGCTAAATCCTATGTTACAATAAGGTCACTCTGAATGTTCTTTCTACTGTAATGGCAGTATAAAAAAATATACTGAATAGAAACTCTGTATTTCTCCATACTGTTTTATTCTTATATTCTCCTATTTCATTTTAAATGGTGCATAAAAGGAGCACAGAACTAAAACTGGGGCTGGCAGGGAAAGATTACCTGCTGATGAAAGCATGATGTTTGTGTAATTTCTTCTTTGCAGTTGATGGAGACCCACACTTTATCATAGCTGTGCCCCAGCAAGAAGATGCCCTTTGTTTCAATATTAATGAGGAGCCAGGGGTAGTATTAAATTTGATAAACGATCCAGTTACAGGTGAGCCTTTCCTTTTTAAGAAATCATGATGGTAAGTAAGAAAGGTGTTATCATATAGCACTGTTAGATCAAATCAATGTCTATCTAATTCCATTTGCTCTTTTTGAGGTCTGTTTTCCTTTGGATAAAGAATATGTATAACATATTATAAGATGTAAATTTGAGGCTTGCTCTCTTAAGTTCAATCCTTCTTTTCATAATTCCCAGGCTGACTGCATATTTTTACTGCCATAGCTTTTTAAATTTGGACTGCTCATTATTTATGTTGACTTAGGTTTTTCTTTTCCTAATCTTGATTTGCTTGCTTGTTCTGGCACACCCAGCTTTGCATTTCCATACAATGAACCTTACCTGCCACTGTGTGACATATCCAAGTAATTCTAAAGACATTTCCACTGCTCTTCACAAGACCTGTTTAAGTGTTATGAATCCAGAATGCTTGCCACATGGGAGGTATATATACTGGTATCGGTACATAGTGGAATTAGGCATTGAGAATCCCATATTCTAAAGTCTGCTGTGGCAACACAAGTAGACACATCATTACAGTATAAGTATCAACCCCCCCCCCCTTTGAATTCAGTAGGAGGGAATTACATCCTTTGGCTAGGACATTATTGTAAAATTGTGCCATCAAGTAGATATGACCATATAGGAGATAGTGTAAGCGTGCTGCTCCGTATGTTCCTCCATTATATTGTTCCACCCTGCCATAACCACCTTATACATTGATTCCATGTCATGCTAGAATGTTGAGAGAATTCACCAATGTTGCTAACATGTGAACAACATACCCAGGATTGCCTAGGCTTATCGAGGTTTCTGCTGTATCCTAAATCAATATATCTCAAGATAGATTATGTCCATTAATTCTGAGTGTATATAGCATTTTTGTTGGTTCACATAGCTGATTATTCATGCCTACTTCTATACTCTGGTGATCATCACCTTGACAGTATTGTAACAGATGTCATAAGGTAAGACATCACTTCGAGGAAGCCATGGAGATTCCTATGCACCAGGCTTAAAAAGATTATTATAATAGCAGATCATCAGAAAAGATGTGATTTTAAAGATGAAACATATTCAAATACAGCAGAAGGGGGGGGGGGTTATTGAAAAGGCTTTGGAACGTTATGTGTGTGTGTTTCAGAGCTACCGGCGCTAGACTATATGACTGCTAGAAGCTGGAATTACTAATAATGGTCATTTCCTTTTGGAGAAGCTTCATGCACATATATAAGCCAATCTGTTAATCTCTGAGGAGATAATATGTAATTCTCCCCAATTAAAGGAGACTCTTGAAATTAAATTATTCAAAGAGGCATATTTCGTTATACTAAATATTTCAAGAGATTAAAATGGAAGATGGGAACAATGGTTTTCTTTTCAGTACAAACACGAGATTAGACAGGGGAATATGCTATTAGTTAAGACTGAGGAAAAAAGAAGCAAACATTTCATTTTCATTAACAGCAGTTCCAATAAAAAGATACAGTATAGCATATGTTCTGCCTCCTTGAAACCAGGGAGAAACATATTTACAAATATATTACTTGTACTTATGCTATCCCTTTAACATGACCTCTGGACTTTAGGTGTTACCGTCAATGGGCAGCTTATTGGAGATAAAAAGAGCATCAACGATGTAAGACCACCGAATACTTATTTTGGAAAACTTGGGATTATAACTATGAATGTAACACTTGAAATAACAACTCAGAAAATCGTGCTTCAGAATGATACTGTAATAAGAGTATTCAGTTGGCTTGATGACGTTACCTTACAAGAACCCAGGTGAGCTTTGCGTACTCCCAAATGTATAAAAGCGTTATTCTTAAATCAGGGATGGGTGACTTAAAGCTTCTATAATTTTGTGCATCCCTTGGTCTATTTCAAAAGCCCAAGGCAAGATACTAGGTCAGATTTCTGGCACTTTATCTTTCCTTTCTTGCAGCTGGTGAGGAGAGAAAAGAGAATGTCAGAAAGAATGGATGTTCCCACCCACTGTTTCTATGTTTCCGCTCCCCTCCCTCTTAATCTCTGCTTGTTCCAACTCCACTAATAATGCATTCCCACAACAGACTAACTCTGAAAGAAGGTGACCTTCACAAGAAAGCAAATTTGCCCAGTGGGGTACATCTAGATAACTTCAACCTACAGAGAAGGGGCAGCGTGCTATAAATTTCTTTGCCAATATGAGGCATGCTTTATAAAAATAAATTATGTGAACTACTAAACATTCTATATGGCCTATGAAATATAGCCAGTTGTTAATAATGTGTTATTACAAATGTTCAATATATTTCAGCTACTAAATATGCCACATATTTAGGTAAATATATACCCATGGTATATTTACCTAAAGGAAATAAGATTTCCCACTTAAATAATTACCTTTGAAGTGGGGGGGGCAATATTTAAAAGAAGAAGCTGTTTGTATCACTGAGACTGAGGTGGGAACTCTAGAAAAAGGGTGTGGAGTCCATGGATGGAGAGCTTGTTCTATTACCAATGTTTCTCAACCTTGGCAATTTTAGCATGTGTTGACTTCAACACCCAGAATTCCCCAACGAGAATTCCACACATCTTAAAGATGCCAAGGTTGAGAAACACTGTTACAGACTACACGCACTTTCATTTATCTATGAAAATATGGCTTCCAAAAGTGTGGCACATAAAACTATACCACAATACATATTTAAAGGGTGGGGGATTCTGTAGGACTGGTTTCAGCTACAGTTGACAAATCTTATCTGACAAGGTGAGGAAGCTGGGCATTGTACAGGATTTTTATGGGCATTTATAGTTTTGAAACTGAAAAACTTTATTGCTGTCATTAACCAGCACACATTTACATTTTTTTTTCTGTCTTCCCTTCTCTATTATATAGGGAGTAATTGTTTTAAATTCAGGTTGCTCTTTGTTTCAGATAAATGCTATATAATTCATTTAATATGAATATTTACAGAAGAAAAAAATAGGAGAACACTTGATATTTCATGCACTTTTCTTGATCACTGTAGTATATGTGAGCAGAAGCTCTTTTTTTCTTCAACTGGCACTGGAAATACAGGAAATAATAAAATATATGTACTATGTTTTATACATACATATACTATGTACGCCACCCAGAGTCACTGTGTGAGATGGGTGGCTATACAAATGTGATTAAATAAGTAAATAAAATAAAACATATATGGGTATTCTGATCCAGCTATATGGAAGCAAACATCTGGATCTGGACTGCCTTGCTAACTATGGCAATTGTCCACAAAGGCCAATGCTTACAAGTCCACAAAGGCCAACGCTTGCAAGTTAGAAGGAAGGGCTGAAATGATCATACATTCAGTGTCTAGTGTATATAGTGGTCCTTGCTGAAATTGAGACCAATCCCTAGAGCATAACATAATCAGATCATAAACATATCAACATAATCAGATCTGAAAATGTCAATACATTGTTTCAGATGAGTGGTTTATTTGCATTGCTCTGCTTCAGCCTGCTTCATTGGTGAATAACTTTTTAACAATGGATAGCTTCATCATTTAAGAAGGTTGAGGGCCAGAATTAACAGGATATAACAAAATTTAATGCAAGACTTCATTTAAACAATAGACATGTTCTTATAGATGCCTTCTCCACAGATGGCTCTCCCCCTACAACCAATTGACTCAACTCAAGCCTCTATGTTATACATACTAATAATCATTTCTCCCTGCTTGGTCTCTCTTTTCCTACTTAGTTTGACACTAATAATCAAACAAAAAAGGAGCATGGAGGTTTCAGTTGGTAATGGAGCAAAGTTTGTTGTTGTTCTACATCAAGTGTGGAAGAAACATCCACTACACCGAGATTTCCTGGGATTTTACATGCTGGATAGTCACAGATTATCTGAGGAAACCCATGGCTTACTAGGTAATACAAAAAATATCATTCTGAGTGTTTTTTTTTTTAATTTTTGTTTATTTTGCACTGCGTTTTTTGTTTGTTTTGCACTATAAGACATATGGTCTTGTAGACCTCTTTGTGAAAGACTACTGACTTGGCATGAGATTAAAAAGGCAGCAATACTTGCTGTTCACTTTTGTTTGTTTCCAGCATTGCAACGTTTATTTCTGGATTGTGTTATCTGCTGGAATCCATTGTGTGCAAAAATTGTTTCTTTTGGAAAATTATTATGGGTAATTTCCAGTTTAGTTTGCACCAAGCACATTCCATTTGATCCCTATATCTGGATGAGAGCACGCCACTCGACACAGAGAGCAATAAATATACCCCGATGTTTATTTATTAAACATCAGCAAACATCAAAAACAGTTAATTTGCAAAATGGGGCAAAAGGCAGACAGAAGCAGGGGGAGAAAGAGAGACATGAACACCAGGTTAGAGAGAAAAGAGAAGATCATTTATTAACAGCAATCTACATTATTTATATTCCTAAATCAAAAAGTGCAGAACTTCCCAAATTAACTGGAAACAATTTTCTAGGTAATTAGCATGGATAGTTCCAAAGGGTTAACTAATTTTTGGTTACCTCAGGTTTAATCCTTTCTTATACATAATAGCAGCAGAACAGAGATGAAAGTAAGACACCAGCTGATTCCTTCTCTTTTCTGGACCTTGAAAGAAACAATTTGGTGGACAGGGATGATGTATCCAACTGTTTTTGCCTGGGGCACACTCCCTTGCTTTCCTCCCTGTTTAGCAGTTTCTTCTGTAATATGGGAGCAAGAAAAAGACTATGCTATGAAGAGCCATCAATCAGGAGCTGTAGACAATAGTGGGCAGAACCAGGATCTTCATTTTCTGGAGCCTATTTATCTCATCTGTAGCTCTTTAAGTCTTCCATGTGTACAACAACACTCATATACTGTACATTTGCATGTACAAAGCAGAAACCATTTCCAAAGCAGCATTTTGGACTATCCAAACAGGCTGATTTTAAATTGGGTGGTCTTTGAACCTTAGTGCCGCACTGGCAATCTCAGTGATAGGGTGACCTGTACAAAGCAGGCTCTTTGAAAGCAGGACAGTAATATATGCAACATTTCTGGGTAAGTAAAAATAAAATTGTGACTTAAGTAGGGTGGCTATAAAAGCAGATACATCCATCTTATAGCCACAGTTAGCACTGCCAAATGCAAGAAGTAGCTCTTCTTAAGATTTGCTTTTGAATGACTGACAACTATTTAATCAAGTTCATGTTTTGCTCTCGAATGACTGGCAACTGTTTAATAATTACCGTTGCTGCTGTCATGTTTATTTTAAGGGCAATTTTTCCATCCCATTGGCTTTGATATACTTGAAGTCCACCCTGGATCTGATCCAGAAAAACCAGATGCCACCATGACTGTGAAAAATAACCAGCTGACAGTAACCAGGTAAACAGAACCTGACATTTTAGCTGAGATTGACATGCTTGCATGAAGTGGACGCTCCAACTTCATTGCTTTATGTGTTATATTGTAGGGGATGGCAGAAGGATTACACAGCTGATATCCGACATGGCACCAATATTCCTTGCTGGTTTATTCACAACAACGGAAAAGGCCTTATTGATGGCAATCACACAGACTATATTGTTCCCAGCATATTTTCATATAAAAAGATTTAAGAGGTGTGATGATGATGATGATCAAAAAAGTTCATGCTATGATGACTGCTTGCAATAACATCCAAATAAATATTTTTAACACTGTGGACTTAGTTGTGAATCGGAATAATTGAAACTGATATTTTCATAATACAATATGTGTATCTTCTGCTTAGATTTCATTTCAATAAATTGGAAAACTTTGTACTGATTTCTTAAATTTATTTTCTACTCACTCCTGAGTGGCTCTAGGCAAGTTTACATATCTAAACATTCAGTATGGAAAACCTATAAGCTGCAACATAAAAATCTCTCTAAAATGCCTGGATCGGGCTCTGCCTAAATTGTAATAATTTGTCTGCCTCTGTGTGTGTGCGTGTGCGTGTGTGTGATTCAGCTCCAATAGCAGTTTGTTCTACAGGAAATTCCTCATTACAGAAGCAGTGTTAATATCCGTGGTGACACCTGCAGAGGCACACTGCTAAAGACCTGGATGCAGAGGTGCTCAAAATATCAAACCTCCAGTGTGCAGGAAAGGAAAAATACTGCTAGGTATCACCGGCTGGTTGATGACAAGTGGCTCCAAATCCAGCTGCTTTATATAGATATTAAATAACAAGATGAACAAAATGGGACTTTATCAAATTTTCAAGGCCAGTTCCCTAGTGGCCAAGAAGATGGTGCCAATATTATCTTTTGATAGTGCTCAGAGAGATAATAGCAGAACCATCATTAATCATTGTGGGAAGAATCTAACGGGCAAAAACTCACAGTGGAGTTTGTTGGTGCCATCAGCGGCTTTTCCATCTGATCCATACCCCCGAAGGGCTGCACTGTCTTGTTCTTTACGGATGCAGTTCGGGGGAAATCCATTGCTTGTTTTCCTCCCTGTCTAGGGTTACCAGATATACGAAGAGACAAAGGAGGATGCAGACAATTGGAAAGAAGGAAAAATGGAGGAAAAGGAGGACACTGTTTAACATTCTTGGCATCTGTGACAAAAATTACAGTGAAAACCTGGGGAAAAAAAAAGTACTTAGGCCTACATGTATATGAAATTACTTTTTCCAGCATCAGAAAGACTGGTTTTTCAGTCTCAGGAGTGTGCTGGAACCAGTAGGAAAAGGAGGACACTGTTTAACATTCTTGGCATCTGTGACAAAAATTACAGTGAAAACCTGGGGAAAAAAAAAGTACTTAGGCCTACATGTATATGAAATTACTTTTTCCAGCATCAGAAAGACTGGTTTTTCAGTCTCAGGAGTGTGCTGGAACCAGTTAGGAGGCAAAAGCCTTCAGCGTGTAACTGATTAAGATCTGATCAGTTTCAGGCAGCGGTACTAGCCAGCAGGAGAATTCAAATCAATTAAGGTCACAGAGCAGAGCTTGTTAAATTGTGGTTAGGGAAGTACTGAGCTATGGAGAAAAGCTGCTCAGGAAGAGATACTCAAAAAGCCGGACAGTACTGATTTTAAGGCTATGCCTGCTGGAGGGAGGACATGAGGACAAAGAGGAAGTCATGCCCTCCTTTTGCTGGAGGTCTAGTAACCCTATTCCTGGTTGCAATTGCGTGGACTATAACAAGTGTGATTAGATTTGTTAAGGTTTCATATGAGAGATAACTATAAAACTCTTCCTCTGCTCTCAGATATAGTAAGTAGTTTTATTATGGAGAAGTAGGAGGTTTTATGTATGAAGATGTTCTGTCAATAGCAGCATGCAGGAAACCTGCAGGTTTAAATACTGGGCTTTTTCCTCCAGCCTTTTCAAGACATGCTGCTCTTTTCCTGATTTAACTGAAATTAAGAAATCTGTGCTATCCATCCCTTGTTTGCAATATGGCTCTCTTTGGTGTGAAAATAAGGGGCTCCCACTTCACCATCTTCAGTCCTTGCAGGATGTCTTTCATTGCATACTTCATTTTTTATGCGACAGGGTATTACAGGCTCTGACATGGAACAGGGGACATTTAGGAGCCAATATATTAGTCCACATTTCAAAAGATTGGTCGTAGGGCAATCAGTCAGGTTCAAGAAAACATCCACTACAGCTGCCTCCTAGCCAGTCACATCCATCAGCCTCTGTGGAGAACCACTCTAATCTGCCCCCAAAGGGAATTTGCTGCCCCAACCCTACTTCGTCTTTCATAGTGATCTGTCCATTCCAAGGTTAAAGCCCCACATGGCATGGGACCAGGTTATTTGCAGGACCGCCTCTACCTGAGAGTATCTGCCGGTCTTACCAAATTGGATAGGGTAGGCACACTGCAGGCCCCTTTCCTAAAATCCTGCCACCTAGTGGGCCTTGGAAGTACACCTTTTCCATGGCTGGCCCTACCTTATGGAACACCCCCCCCCCCCCCCGATGATTTGGCAGGCCCCCAACCTTTTAGCCTTTCAGAAGGCCATCAAGACCTGGCTTTTTATCCAGAAGCTGGGATAGAATGAGGATATCTGGAATTGGTTGTGAGACATCCCAAGGGGATAATTCAGGCACTTTTTGCTTTGGTTTTATGGTTTTATGGTTTATGCTTTTATTTTTGGGGTTTTACTGCTGTTGTGAGCTGCCCGGAGTTGTTTAAGATGGGCAGCCATACAAATCTTTTAAATAAACAAATAAACAAACAAACAAAAGGTTACCAGTTCTGAGATTCCTACATATGTTCACTTCTCCCCCTAACAAAAAACACACCAAGGGTATGAACTGTCTCATGGGTAGGTTCCATACCAATCTGAATAAAGCTTATAGAAGCTATGAAACCATGAGCGACTCTTGCCGAGTAGCATCAGTGTGAAAATTGGTCTCCCAAGACCCTGGTAGAGCAGGCTGTTTCTGTCCAGGTGCACCAGCTGGGATATTCAACATCACCCAACACCGGCTCATTCAGGGATTCTGTTGGGAAGCAGTTCAAGGTACATGGCCTCCAAAGCACCAGACAGCAGAGACCAGAAAGGACGATGGAAGCCTTATGCCTACAGCAACATCCCCTGGGTGGCCATTGTTTACAAAAATCCTGTACAGAATAACAGGTCAGCCCCAGATACACCATACAGAACCCCCAGCTGCATCCTACCACAGAACAACTTACAAGGAAATGAATTATTTTTATTGGAGCCTAGCCCGGTGTTCAATAGCAGTAGCATAAAAACCTATCACTGTTGACTTCACTCATCAGATTGGTTCAGTAAGTAGACCCATAATTATAGGTCCTACCACCCCACACAGTTCTGCCTTCTCTTCCCCTTCTGCCACGTCCCCCTGGGGATACCAAAGGGCTACCAAGGCCCCTGGAAGAGCCTGAAAATGACCAATCCAAGCCATAATAATTCTCTTCCCTTGAAAACAGCCCTCTAACACAAGCAATGACAAGGATTTAAAGCTTGAAAGGAGAAGGGGTGGAGCATAAGAGTGTTGGCCTTGAAGGAGAGTTGTTAGTCAGCAGAGGCCTATTAGACAGTTTCCCTTAATAAGCTTACTTTAGCGTATATAGATAAATATATAGATATATAGATATAGATACAGATACAGATACAGATACAGATATTGCATGCTGTATCCTTTTCTGTGGGTGGCTACTATTGTTTCTATATGTACTGATTGCTGTGGACTTGTTTACCATCTGAAGTGACTTGACTGTGGACTTCAGAGCTAAAGCAGAGCCAAGCGTTGATGCTGGGCCAACAAATGCAATGGGTAAAAGGGAAGAAACCAAACAATATAGGAGAGTGAACAAGGAGTGCAACCACAAACACACATACACACACATACATCATGGTTTCAAAAGGTGTATTGCAGCTCTGAGGAGGAAGGTCATACTTTATTAAAACAATTGTTGGGTTCCAGTGTCAGATTCAACTTCTTTGTTGAACACACGTGTCATGAGAGTTTCTCTAGACGAACGGGGTAAACCTTACACCAGCGTACCAAGGAAAAGAAACAGGGAACAACAGAAAGGAAGATCTTTTATAAGGATTTTGCATTGTGGGGCAAGAAATTCTTGGGTTCTGATTTGCTGTTAGGATTGTGGGACCATATAGAGAAAACTGGAAAAGTTTGATTGTGTAAGGAGAGCCATTTATTATTTAAAAAGACTGTGCTTTTTAGAGGCAGCAGGGATATTGGCAATACATTGTTTCCTGTTAGCAAGTAGAGAAACACTGATGGGATTAGGTACCTATCAATTACTTTGTGCAATTTTCTCATTAGGATTGTTTTAGTAAATCCCTCTAAGCTGGATCTTTGCTGCCCTTCGTCAGTTTCATTTATTCATGGTTCACTCCCAAAACACCCTTCTTTCTTTTTTGTACATAAACTTCATTAAAATTCTACACATAAAGTAGACATTAAAAAAACACAATACATCAACATATACAAAAACATAAACCTCCAAACACAAAACTAAACATCTAACTTATGTATGTATGTATGTTATGTATGTATGTATGTATGTATGTATGTATAACAGAAAACCACATCCTAATCAAGGAACTACCAAGGAGAAAACCACACCCTCACCAACACTGACAGGGCAAGCTACTGTATATAAACAGAGAGCAAACCCCACACACTCACTAGCACTGATGATGTTACCTAGTCGGGTAATGAAATGTCTGCAAGAAAACAACCAAGCTCAGAGAGCCCCAAGGATTCCACAGTTCAACTCTGAGCTACAGATATTCTCTTCTATGGAAAAATATATAATCCACTTTCTCCCTTCACTTTCCTCACAGATCCATTAACCATTTCTTATTCTTTTATGCCGTTGTAATCACTATTTAAATTTTCCATTATCTCCTCCTGTAAAAACCTATAAAACCCTTTATCATCAAGCTATTTTTCTCCACTTTTGTAATATAATCCATAAATGGACTCCAGTCTTTAATAAAAAGCCTTTGTAGATTTCTCTCTCATTAGACATGTCAGTTTTGCCATCTCCGCCAAGTCCATAACTTTAAATATCCAATCTTCAACATT